CTACATTCTCGTCGATACCCAGCTCATTATGAGACATTCTCACGTGGAGGAGGAGATTGCAGCAGCTATCAGTCTTTACCTTGACATCATCAACCTGTTTTTGGCCATTCTCCGAATCCTCAACAGCCAACAAAATAACTAGAGAGGATGCTATGATCAGATAGTGGCATCGGGAAATGACCGAAGCAGGATGCCATCTTGCTTTTAAACTACAACTTTCAATGGACGAAAAATAATTATGGGGTTATGGGTTATGGGTTAATTTGAAAACTGGTACAACTAGCATGAGGTTCCTGTGGGGTTTTCTGGGGGTGGTTTATTTGTATCGATAGCTCTCTCCCCTTTACTTGAAGCAAAATCACATTCAATGTTATTTTATCAGTTTGCATGCAAGAATTCTTTTGTACATTTATATTGGATGAAGATGTCTAGGTACGACAGGTCTGATCTTGATGATTCGCCCCCTTCTATTCGGGTCAGGGGTCTAACTAACACCGAAGGGGTAACGAAACATCTCATCCCGAAAAAACCTCCTCAACGAAAAAGTTATTGTGTTGTGTGCAGTGCGCACATACTGGTGCGGTACGATACTTGCATGATGTATCCCTTGTAACGTCTAGAAGACAGCCCTCTATACTGAGACCTCGTTGAGTCAATTCACAAACTAAACTATTGATTAACTAGATAGCTTGGCTTCTCAAATACCGGCTGTGAGCTAATCTAAACCCTGAACACTAAGTGCATATTTGGGGAGAGGGACTCCCGACTCCCGTAGAGTATATGCCCGAAGAAAAAAGTGGTCGTTGAAGTCAGATAGAAGTCAAGATAACCAGTCAAGCCAGTCTAATGTTGATCGTGGGCCGTTGTTTGGTGTACTTAACCCCTTTGGAAACATGAAGGTGGGGAAAAAGAGGATCTAAAGGTGCATGTTCTCTTCCTTTTCTCTCCTTCCTCGTTCACTCAAGGGTGTTTCCCCTCCCGAGTCCCCTCCTAATATGTATGTAGTATAGGTATAGTATCTCGCGACCTCGAGAAAAAGCCGTCCACCAAAATTCTACACCTTAATCAAAATTCAATATCAAAACAACAAATTCAAATTCTTGATTGAAATTATATATATTGATAATTTATCAAAAAAAGATTCTAAAGCTTCAGTTTTTAGAATATTATAAAATATAGAGAAATTTATATTGAATTTTGAAAAAGATTATTTCTAGATTCTCTTTTATTTTTGCAGGGTTGGTGTCCGGCTTTTTCTCGAGGTCGCGAGAGTATCTGAGTTACTTGAGAGATGATAGAACATTTCAGATAGGCACACCACATAAATTTATCTATGGATGCCTACGAGTAGGTCTTTCGTAGTATCCTTCGTAGTATCCTTCATTTAGACATCGTCTCCTCTTAAGTCTTGACTCTTGACTCTTGACTCTTGAGTCTTCAAAGTTCGCACATCAACAAATGCATTCTATTCGAATCTGACCCACCCGCACGATGACAGTATCATTAATTTGATTCGTCGATCGAACCGCCTTTTTTTCTGAAATGTAAAACGAACCCCTTCTTTTTACTATTGTGACGCTGCAGCCACTCACTCAAATTGGATCCAATCCGAACCCACCTGTTGCTGCAAATCGCTCGTCAAAAAAAACCAAGTACATACAACACTCGCTGAGCACAGTTAATTACTCACTTCATTCACCGCCTTCTTCTTTGCTCACTGCCAGATAATTCAAAACTGTCCATCCACCTTTCAATTATATACTCTCTCAAACCCACATTCGTTTTGACTCGAATCCGGACTGGTTGCACTCTTATATAACATCATACGAGACGTAAGATATTCTATGATATATTCACTCATTTGATATTTCGGGTTTCAAAGGACAATTGAGAGAGTAATATATGTATTCCTCACTCAATTGAACCTCAACAATTGTTTAACCACCAATTCGAAATTTACCTTTTCCTCTCTCTACTTGTTTCAGGTCGCCATGAATTCTACTTCTCCAATCGATACGATTGAAGATGGGACAAACGAAGCTGCATCAGAGTGGGCACACCAAAATGGAGACTCTGTTATTCCTATAGAGAAGAAGCTCGACACTTCAATGGAATATCCAACTCGTCCATTGATGGGCAAAAGAAAGGCCAAAAGGAAAGATGATAGTCCTCTGGACATCATTTGCAGATTTATTGTGGACCATCAAACTGGTAAATTTCCCTTGCTCTGTTTATTTTTTAGGATCTCCCTTTAACATTGTGCCTTAGGACTATCTGTCAATCTTTTGATGCTCCTTTCCTTAACGCACATGTGCTTTCCAAGAGCTCGCAGACATACTCGCAAATTCTTCGAACTTTCCTACTACAATCCAGAATCTGGCGAGTATTGCGCCGGTTGGAATGATGCTTGGCTAGTGTTCTATTGGATTGTTATCTTTACAGGACTTCGCGCTGCTTTCATGGATTATGTATTGAGACCATTGGCAAGAAAGGGTGGGGTGAAGACCGCGAGGGATGAGACGAGATTTGCTGAGCAGGCTTGGCTTATGATCTATTATTCTGTGTTCTGGACACTAGGAATGGTTAGCTAGAGCCCAAAACTCTTTGAAAACTTCTTCGCTAATACCCGGATAGTATATATACGTCAACTCAGACTACTGGTGGAATTTGAGCGAGCTATGGACTAATTGGCCTAATCGAGAGGTTGGTGGACTTCGAAAGTGGTATATCCTCGTCCAATATGCCTTCTGGCTTCAGCAGATCATTGTTATCAACATCGAGGCACGTCGAAAGGATCATTGGCAGATGTTTACTCACCACATCGTTACAACTGCCTTGATTTTCACAAGTTATGGTTATCATCAAACGAAAGTTGCAAACGTAATTCTTTGTTTGATGGACGTAGTGGATCTTTTCTTTCCAGTAAGCACCTCTCCTTCACCCCCTTTTCCTAACGAGAGCTAATAGTAATCTTCCATAGGTTGCGAAATGTCTCAAATACCTCGGATACGATAAATTATGTGATTTTATGTTCGGACTTTTCATGCTCTCTTGGGTAACGGCCCGTCATGCTTTCTATCTTATCATCTGTTATTCGGTATGGGCAGATATTCCAAGGGTGATCAATTATGGTTGTTACCAGGGTAAAAACGGTTCTATCTCAGGTCCTTTCCCGCCTCCTGATCGCTTTGGACACCTCTTCAAACCATTTCAAGATCCAGTCGGAGTTGTTTGTTGGAACAACAACATTAAATGGGGCTTCCTTGGTGCTTTGCTTTTCCTTCAAGGTATCACACTAATGTGGTTCTGGATGATTGTTCAAGTTGCTATCAAAGTCATCAGAGGGGGCCAAGCAGACGATACACGAAGTGACAACGAAGAGGAAGAAGAGGAAGACATTGATTTGGATGATGAACCCTTTCCCGAGGAAGTCCCGCTGTTGGAAAAAGAGCCATATGAGGAAGAAGTTGGCGTCGAAGAATTGAATCTGGAGAAAAGAACGTCGAAAAACAGTCGTTATAAGAAGACTACGAGCAGTGCTAGTGGCGTGAGCATCCCGGGACACAGCGATAGAAAGGAATTGCTGGGCAGGATTGGTTGTGATAAAGGCGTTTAGAAAATATGCTAGGGTTCCGACACATGATTTTTCCTGCTCCCGATGTATGGGGTAACAGGAGCGTGATGAATTGGGGAGTGAGGAAGACTCCTCGCGAGAATTAGCGAGGAATGTCATTTTTTCTTGCTTCTTGTTGGTGGTATATGGCATGGGATTTCTTATTTTTACAAAGATATCGGGACATACCGGCTGGTTTTTGGAGAGTTATGATGATAAAACATACCCGTTTCCTATTTTATGAAAAGTTGAACGAAGGAAAAGAAAGATTCCAATCGAATTTCCATTTTAAGGAGTTGCATATCACTCGAAGACTTCATGGTGATGATATCGTTTTGGTAGTGGCGAAGGGAGGGACAATTGTATCTATGTGTTTATGTGTGTGGATTAGATGTGAATGAAAAGATTATACCCAGTTTCAGACAGAACTTTGGTGTATTAAAACACCTATGGTTAGGTGTGACATCAAGGACAATATTCCTAAAGTCTAATGAGAGAAGAAGTAGATGTATCAGTGTGGATTATACAAATTAGCTGTGCAAAGAATACAAAGATCGAGTTTAGTTGAAGTGAGATTAGGTAAAGTGTACAAAGGCATGAGGCACAAGGCTTGCGACAGAGAGGGGGAACTGAGGAGCTGTTGGGAACTGTATCTATCCCAAATGTCTAGTGGTAAGAGATGCTTTCATGACCATTTACAAGATTCAAGAAACGGTATCAAGTATTTTCATTTATCCTCAGCAATGCTTTCATACCACCCACCCATGGTCAATATCAAACCAAACTCTCTTTACTACCAACCCAATCATAAATCGACGTATTCGGACTTCTAAACAAATAGGTAATCTTCAAATAGATCCCGGATGACCGGTACTTTGAGCGGGGCCGTGGCTGCAGAAAGTAAAAAAGCATGGCGCACATGGTCTTTTTTTAGTGTAGTGTGAATACCGAGTCCGAGGTTTACGAAGAGTGGACGTGTACTCTGTGTGAAGTGAAGTATTATTCGAAGGGCTCGGGAGCGAAATGTTCCATGCTTGTGGAGAAGGGTTGATTGAAGGAGCTTGGGAGGAGTAACTGTCTGGGTTATGACAGGACAATGTCAGGGCAAGCTTGTAAGGCAGGTCCCACCGTATTGGTGTGTTTGTGTATAAGTTTGAACAATGATACATCATACATATATTTCTGGCATCTTTTAATAATCTTTCAACTTTCTTCTTTCCAAATTCTTGCTTCTACTGTGTAGAAATACTTTTGGTGAAACTCTTAATTGGTTTTGGAACCGGAGTGGATTTTCGATAACGGGTAGCTTCATCATTGGGTACATCTGGCAGCGACATCAGGACAGCTTGAGGTGAGACATTGAGGGACAATTCAACATAAATTCGGGATGGCCGCGCCGGTAGATCCAGCGACGAGAAAGAAGGTGTTGAAAGTGGTGTTCTTCTCGCTGTTATTAGATTTGGTGCGTCTACACAATGGGCAGATTAATCGCGAAAGATGGCAAATAGCTAACACATCCATTTTAGATCTCGTATGATATACTTTCCACATGAAACAAGCAGACATGAGGATCGCAAACTGACGCGCTCTTGGGCAGATTCACATTCATATTGCCTCTATTTCCAAAGCTGCTGGAATTTTATAGGAAGTACGTTTATCTAGTCTCTAACCATCCGGATATCTAATATGGAAATAGTCTTGAGGCGCCAACTGCCTTTTCCTCTTCATCCAAGTCTCCTACACTTCTCGCACATATCCTCACATATCTTAACACATACAAAGCATCATTCGCGAAACCAATCGACTCTCGATATGATATTGTGTTGCTAGGTGGAGCTCTTGGGAGTTTATTCTCGTGCGCAAATATAACATCGCTACCCATTTCGACCCGGCTTTGCTAATACTCTTCATCACAGCCTTCTCCAAGCTCTCGCGTCCCCTATAATCGGTACTCTCTCAGATAAATATGGTCGTCGCACAGCGCTCCTCGCCAGCATGACTGGCAACATCCTCAGTGTCCTCCTCTGGGTATGCGCCACCGATTTCCGTACCTTTCTCCTCTCGCGCGTCGTTGGCGGACTCTCAGAAGGCAATGTTCAACTCGCAATTGCAATCGCCACAGATATATCAGATGAGAAACAGCGTGGTGCAACCATGGCTTTGGTGGGAATATGCTTTAGTATAAGCTTTACATTTGGACCTGCATTGGGTGCTTGGCTCAGTACAATTAGTACTGTGCAGGCAAATCCTTTTGCCACTGCGGCTGGATTCTCTCTATTTTTGATTGTGACAGAAACCATTTATTTGTATATGTGTTTGCCAGAGACATTACCTAGTAAGGTTGCGCAGGCTAAGTTGAATGGGGAGCCGGCTGCTACAAATGGGGTTACCAAGGCAGCCGGTTCTTCGACTGAGAAGACGCAAGCTAAGATGGTATCCTCGAGTACTGATGGGGTGAAGAAGCAGGGAAGAACAAATTCCCACTTCCTACTTAACCTTACCCATCTTTCTTTCATTCTGTTCTTCTCCGGCATGGAATTTTCCCTTCCTTTCATGACATACGATCTTTTTGGCTATACGTCCGCACTAAATGGTCGTCTCTTAGGATATATGGGACTTGTAGCATCTCTTCTTCAAGGAGGAGTAACCCGACGTCTTCCGCCTCTTCTTTCCGTTCGCATAGGCGTAGTCTCGTGTCTCGGCGCGCTATTCCTCCTTGCCCGCATCAACACCGTTGCAGGTCTCTATCTAGCCACTACTCTCTTAGCCGTCACAACTGCAACAGTTGTCACGGGTCTCAATGCACTTAGTTCATTCGAAGCAGGCGAGGATGAAAGGGGTGGAAAATTGGGAAACCTAAGAAGTTGGGGACAACTTGGAAGAGGGCTAGGACCATTATTATTCACAAGTGTCTATTGGTGGGCGGGAAGAGAAGTGGCATATAGTATCGGAGGTGTGGGTCTCATGGGAGTGGCATTATTGGTTACTTTTGGATTAGAGACTCCGGGAGGAGAGAAAGGAAAGAAGATTGGGGATGTTAAAGAGGAAGTGGGAGAGTTGTAGATCGGGGCATAGTCTCGATATTTGACATTGTATTTTTGTAAGAGTTTTGGTTATACATTTGATGAGCTTTTGGCTGAGACTCGTTTCGGCAAATTTGTCTTTTTCGACTCGAAGGACATATACTCGATCTTGGGCTGCTACGAATCATCAAGTATATCCAGGTTTGGGCAATTGAAGGGGAAAGGGGACGGAGATGTAAATTAGAGATATCCTTTGGTGCATTGTATTTGTATTGAATTGTTTGCAAACTTCAAAGAGAATGAAAGATTGGAAATGTTTTCCAATGGATGTGCTGATATGATAAACTGTTAAATAAACAAGTAAGAGAGGACAGGAGCAAAGAACGAAGAAAGGTATTGCGCGAGGATTCCTTTTATAGAGGAAATTGGCTATACAAATATCTGTATGTTACATCATTATCACAAGATCCAGAATTAAGTTATTAAACAACTCAACAACTTTCTCCAGCGCATACACATAGGCTTTGTTATCCTTGCGGTACCTACCCAACTATCAGACAGACTATCTAGGACTATCTAGGACTACCTAGGTATACATAGCTATGTAGCTAACCTAGCTAATAAGGATGAACTATCTTAAATGAAAATCTCACACTAGATACCTACCTACCTAGCGAGAAATTCGCGAACCCAACAGCTTCGAAATCTCAGGAGGAGGGAATTCCCTCGATGAGCACAACTTTTATATATCAACCAGAACGAATCCAGTCTTCTTCGATAAAAATCCATTCCCGGTGAGTTTTGAACATTTTAACCATGAAACTATCAGAAAATATCAGATCAGAGCGTTATTAATTTGCTCGCTACCGAGTGAGTAGGTAAGATTATATATATTATACATGTCATATTTAGATATATACGTATGTGCTCGAGTAGATGTGCCATATGTACCTCGCTCGCCCTAGAATTAAAAATTTCAAGAAGCCTCCTCTTCCTCCATCCACGCCAAATTCCAATCCAATTCAGACGCCCGTTCCTGTAAGTGAATGCGGATCATTCTAATCTCATCTCGTCTCTTCTTACTTCTTCTTTCTATATACAAATACATCGGGATTCGAGATCAGTAAATCCGTCGTGCCGATGAATGGATTAGTCTTAAATCCATACTCTCCCTTATACATTATTTCCAACAATCATATGTCCATTATCCAATTTCTTCTCTCATCAATCCAGGCTAAACATCCTCACTCCCCTTCTTCTTCTCTGACTTCCTTCTCAATACTCCCCCAAACCCTCTCATACTCCCCCCACTATCTTTCCCCGTATCGTTCGCACTCGCGTTACTATCTCCCCTACTCCTCGCTCCATCACTAATATACACATCCTCTTTACTCCTACTCCCCTCTCCTAACCCTGATACAACACCCCCTACAGCACGTCCTACGCCTAGACTAATACCACTTCCACCTATGCTTCCTGGTCTACTTTTATTTCCTTTTGTGTCGAAAGAAATGTTGCTGCCGATAGAAACACTGCGTAAAGGTTTCCTGAAGCGAGCGGGAGTGGATTGGGAATGCATTTGTGGGGAGGGAGTTGTGATGGGGATACGGGAGCTTGGTTGGGAAGAGTGTGAATGAGATGGGGGCGTGGAAGGTATTCCCTCTCCGTCTTCAGGATGTGGCTGGGGTTTGGGTTTCAGGGTATGATGAGAACTGTCGAATTGGGGAAAGGGAGTATTAGATGTATTAGGGCCAACAGGCGAAGTTTCGGTCGAGTCGTCATCGTGTACATATGAGTTCCTGGAATGGAGCTTAGCGCGTTTTCGTGCACTATTATGGTTGTATGTGCTTTCAGGTGTATTGAGATCGGCTGATGATTCGTCCCCAGGCTGTATCATGGTAATTGGATCTGCATCGACATAGGTTCCACTTCCCATGGATTGACTCCCACTGTCTTCTTCACTAAGATAAGTCAATGATCTGGAGTTCATGGTCCCAATGCGCATTGAGTTGGTACGGGCGCGATTATAATGTTCATACTCCTCTTTCGAATGCTCTGCGTTGTAGAAGGACTCCAAGGCGTCGAAAACATGCGGGAAGACTAGAGTGTTGACTTCTCGAGCCCACAAGAAATCGAGATGCTCATAGTGAGAGATTTCAATGTGAGTTGTCTGAGGCGGGAGCTCTTTTCGCATTACGTTTATGTCGACTAGTGAGTCGCTGCCGCCATACAGCAATACAATTGGTGTTTTAATGTTGCGAGTTGGAAATTTGGCGACTTTGGTGTATTTGTTTATGCCACCTAAAACGGGTTGGGGCTCGTCATCGTACATTTGGAATGACTTCGTGCGGATGATTTGAAACCAATGAACAACTGCTTTGGTACTGGTGAAAGAATACAGATGAGGGTATGCCGCGAGCTTTTGTGAGGTGGACATATTCTTGGCGTGCCAGCCGAAGAGAAATTTCAACCCCATATCAATGAGACGCACGAAGATAGGGGGGTAAAGTATGGATTGCCACATAGTAGCCGATGAGAGAATAGAGCGACGACCGAAAAGAAGAAATAGAACCTGAGGTGATGCTTTAACGAGTGCATCCACTATACCATTTGAAAGACCAGCTGGAGACATAGCAGGCGCAAGCGCAATGAATACATTGATCTGATCATTAAGCTTCGGATGGACAGCCAAAGTCGCAAAAGCCTGGGCAGTTCCTTGAGAGAATCCAATATACGATAATGATGGCGCAGAGGTTGTGTCAAGGATGTATTGAATAGTGTCAGGGATATCATAAAAGGCAAATTCATCCATTGAAAAGTCCCAGAAAGCTGTTTCCGTCGGTGAATGGTGGATGGACTTCTTGGAGTACTTGTTTCCGCGATTGTTTCCAAGCTACAAATCTTTAGCCTCTCATGTGTGCATAATTTGACATGGGCCCAACTTACCCAAACATCGTAACCTCTTTCCACTAGGGTAAAAGCTAAGCATCTCTCTTTATCAGTCAAACAAACCCAGACCTCGCTATTCATGAGCAAGCCATGGTGTAAATATACAACAGGCTTTTTAATGCTACCAGGTCCACTGTTGACCTTTGTATTTTCTTCTCCTTTCTTCCAACCGAGTCGATGAGCGCATAGCAGATAGCCATCTTTGGTTTGTACAACATGCTCTTCGGCATAATAACCAGCTAATTCGCAGAGATCTACAAAATCTGAAGCGTTTCGAATGGAGGTGGATATATCTGAATCTGTCAGTCCTTTTCCTCGATCAGATTCTGCTGAAAGACTGCTCCAACCTTGCTTTCGTGTCTCTGATTTCTTAGCTGCTGCAGATGTGAATCGATTGAAAAGGCGCCTCGAACCTCGATAACATAGTTTTATGATTGTCGAAGCTGTGCTATTGTTAGATAATCTTTCCGACGATGGCAAGTGGTGGGTTGGAACATACGAAGTGCCAATGTCAGTATTCTAATTATTGCTTCTAACCCAACAAGAAAAAACGAGCTTATCAGTGCCAAATATTCGCTCCTGTATGATTGATCAGCGATTGCCACATATAACAATTCAGCAGAAAACTTACGGGCAGAGCCGTCCGATGAATGGAATGTACATTGTGTTGAGTATCTTCTATCGTATCGAGGACTTTATTTGCGCGGTGAGATAGTCTTATACCATCTGAGGAGGCGATCTTGACCGCAAAACTGATAACGAGCTTGATATATGCAGCTAATTGCCCTAGAAGATCTAGAATATAAGGGTCTGCACAGAAACGGTATTAATTAAGCTTGGTTATTGACGTGGACAGAGCTCTAAAAATGCAAAGATGTAAAGATGCATACACGTAGAGTCCAATCGTTAAGACCTTCATTGATGTCACATCCACTTTCACATGCTAAATCGCATATCGCCTTCACTTCACTCACGCCTCGAGTGTTAAAATAAAGGTTGGTTGGTCGAGGATGATTGTTCAATTCAGACTTATCAAAGAAAAAAATAGGGAGAGTTGGACAAACACAATGGCAATTATCTCGAATGATTGGACGTCAACATCAGACGATGAATTCACAGTTGTCGTCCCTAATTGCTTTGTTTACTTGCGCGTTGGAAAAATCTGGGGAGCGCGGTAGAGCGGGAGAGCGGGAGCTTGAAGGTTGGGTTGGTCTCGGTCGGGTAATCCACGGGATTTGTAACCTAGCTTCCGCCCAAGAAAGTGGCACTTTATTAATGGTTTGTCTGTACCCGAGGAATGTCATGACAATACCTACATTCTGCGAATTGAAGCTCTTTCAAGAAGAAGTTCTATACCCTTTCCTGTACACTGTTTACTAGACTGGAAGTATTTTGATCACAAGTCTCAAGAAGACGACTAGTTCAGTATGCCGAGTTCTTGTCAAGATATCCGTTCGCATCTTCCTTTCCTCTCATCAATGCCCCGCTAAATTTTCGCAGGAGCTGCACTGGCACAATGTCTCCAAGAGTCAGACTGTGTCATGATTTATCGCAATAAGCCTTCCGATTGTCTGCGAGCTCCTCTCCTCGAAACTATGCCCACCAAGTGTCAACAATTGAAGACAGGCTACGGTGAATGCAAACGAGGTTTAGTCGACATGCGCAAACGATTCAGAGGCAATCAACCAATTTCTGTGAGCAAGGAGATTGAAGGAGGGGGGGAGAGAAACACCGGTGGACATATGCTCTATGCTGGAAAGCCAGCTTTTGAAAGCGGAGTCAAAGAGACGAGCGGAAACGAGCCCGAAGAGAAGGATTGGAGGCAGTTGGAGAACGAGAGATACAGAAAGGAGTAAAAGAAACAAATACCTACTTTCAGGAAGAGGCATTGGTGTATCATGCTATACATCCGTTAAAATTGGGGTTCCATATTGCATTGGAAGGCGTTCAGGCATTGTATATCAAAGGCATTACGCGATCAAGGTTGATTATCATAACGAAATTGTAAGGAAATCCACTCAAGCCTCAAACTTCACTCATAACTATACACCAGTCTTCGAGATAGGGACCTCATTGCGGCCAACTCTTGGTCCGTCAAGCTGTTATTGGTTTTTGTTTCGTGGACTGAAGCGGGATTTATGGTTGATAGGTTCTCTCAACCGGTAAATCGGATCCAAACTTCTATAACTACACAGCCTTGCTTGCTTACTTTCGGTGTGACTCACGGACAATAGGTATTGAGAACCCCGAAAGAACATGCGTTCAACTCGGGTTATCGGCCGTGAAAAAAGACTGGCTTCATCAACATCGGCCATACTGGCAATTGATCGTATGCTGCATGAACGCGAGCATGCACTTTTTGTTTGCATCTGTAGTACAGCCGCCTTTGCCACCCTTGCCCAATCTCTGCAATCTTATATCACGCTGCAAGTTCGGCAAGAGCGGCCCCACGTCGGATTTCAGAACTGAACATTTGAAGCACGAGATACCTATCGAGAGAAGTTTTTCGGCCATTGGACTTGCGGTGAAATTCTTGGTTTGAAAATATCTGATTTGTATTATCCCTGTCTCAGGAGCTTTCTGGTCTTGGTATTTGCCACTTGCCTGCTATCGTCCTACGATTAGCTCTAATTTTACCCACCCACACTCAACGCCATAAATCAACTTCGCAGAGAGGACATTCATGTCGCCGCCAAATCTCCAATCCATAAATATACAAAATCCCAAAACACCTTCGTCATTGTTCATTCAAGCCCACCAAGGTTGAATTGGTTCATAGTCCCAGCCCCATCCACCCATCCTCCTACCAGCTCACTACTCGACAACTTTTCACGTTGTTCCTGCTCGTATCGACTCAGTAGATCTTGATACATATCACCAAGGTTGTGTAACTCGGTGCTGAGCATCTTCACCTGTTCTTCGAGTCGCTGTCGCTCATTTGCTTGACGTTTCCGAAAATTCCTCTGGGACACGCGATTTTGTACAAGTCGACGCTATCATTTGTCAGGTTAAAGGAGCCTAAAAATTTGGAAATCGTTCTCACCATCTTTTGTGCGGGTGTCTTCTCTGTTACTGAATCTGTTGAGTCATGCGATGTCTCTCGTGTGCGACTACCTTGAGATTTGGGTTTTCGTTCACGAGAAGGTCGGTTTTGGCCTCGTTTCTATATTTCGTTTGTCAGTTCAGAAAACAAGAAGTCTCTTCAATCTAAGGCATTATTATAAAAACTTACCAATTCGCTTGACAACTCATTGATCATCTCGTTCCTTTCCGATCCATAATTTCTACCCTCTGTCGAAATGCTTTGTTCCAATTCTGGCACCATAGACACATCAATGGTATCGAGGTATGGACTCGGATACGGCGGTATAGTGTATATACTCTCCGTTTGTGGGATCGTACAGGTTGTCTGTTTGTTATGTTAACGCCTTGCTATAATGAATTTGAAGAATGAACATACGTATGGAAAGGCAGATCCGAATGCTTCGGTATTTAAGTCACACGGCACGTCTTGATCAAATGTCAAAGAGGGAGGCGAAGGAGGCGAATACCAAATTGGAGTGGAAATTGCCATTGAATATCAGTCGTATGATTAGCTTGTATAAGATTTTCTGTGTAAGGTTGAAGTTTGTTAGGATGTTTGTTGTGATTAGAGTTTGTCTACGGTTTTAAAGTCTCGAAGGACTCGAACGTATATATAATCAGTAATCAGAAATGACTCCAGTAGCTTACAAACGCTTCAACCGCCGCATATTCCCGAATATCTAGGCAGCGGCAGTAGAGCGTTGCGCAGCTTAATTGGTAGCCTTTCAATAGGCTATAGCTATCACACACACCATATATACCATGCAAAAATCCAGCTTACATATCCGATCGGCAACACAAAACACCGGTAGAGCAATCGATGGAAAGTTCTTAATGTCCGCCTTTTCAAGGGTCGAAACAGGTTCTGACATCACTTTTCACTGCTATTTCAGACGGTGAGTGGAAAGCCACACAGGTGCAAATAAAAATTTATTTGTGTAGCATTGTATCACTCATCTGCGGAAAACCAAACCACTTTGGGATGTGGTGGACGCCTTTCAACATACATGCATGAGATGACAAGGCTTACCGTATTCGGTGCGTGCACTTTTAACCTGGGGGTCCACGTGTATGGACCGCCTTTTGCTTAATGAATTTAAGCTTGATATTCTTTCCGCTCTCTATCTGCAGAGTCAGCGAGAAGATAAGGATGTGATTGGATACCGAATCGAGTTTCTTCATCGAGCGTCTTGCGCAGGTGGAAAAGGTGCATACGTTCGGCCTTTCCGCGTTGCTCAAGGTTGATTACAAAGACGGATTTACGATGGCCGGGTTTAGAGCTTTATATCCAGAGGATCTGCATACTTTTCTGCCGGTTAATTGAATTGGATGGAAGCGTCCCTTCTAATCATTCCGTGGTGGAAGCAGGTCCTAGGTCTTTTGTAATCATAATGTGTCGTGCGATTGAGAAGGGTCCGGGGGAGACTATATATACATTATTCCAAGTGACAAATCAAAAAGATACTTCAGGCCATTCCGCGTTACTGCTTAAATGTATCTTCTCGAGTATATCGGCTTTACACAGAATCATAGTAGATGAACTTGGACTAGCTTCCATCTCCCCATAAAACGTCCCCAAATAAGTAACCACCGTACTCTCCACTATCTTCCAAGTCTCAACTCCAAAATCTTGTACCTCTATCATAGAATTACTTACATAACAAGCTCTATGATGAAGTTCATCCGTAGAGCTTTCTCTGTGAAGAACTACTCGAGATAAAACTTCAATAGCTCATCCCCAGTCTATACTCGTGTCTAGTAACGAGTATACACAGGCGGGGGCGAAGAGATTGTCCTTGCTGTTTTGGAACGCTGTGGAATTCGCGCAATGCCGTTTAGATATATCAGGGAGTCCAGACGGGAACACTTGTGTATAATGGTGCGGAGAGGGTCTAAGAGTCATGGACTTGATTCATCGGGCGAAAATCAGTTCATTTCTATGAAAAATGAGCGGATGCGGGAGCCTCTTTATGTCCAACACAGAGAACCCTTTCCAATTTCCAACACTTTACAGATAAAGACCGACAGCTTGGACCACTTTGCGCTTCGAATCCTTAGGTCTCAAAATATATGACTCTCATTCGAGATACCCTAGCTTTCTTGGCCCCTTGCAACTTTTTCTCGCGCCAAACTCGCGCATAACATGACTGCGAGCTTCGGTTCTGGCGCCTCGATCATTATCCACTTGGATCAATGTGAAGTCTCCTACTTTGCTAGAGCTTGAATTACTTTCACTTGCATCTAGATATTTTCAACGTGAGTGGGAGGTAAGGATTTGGCTTCGGCTGGTGATTGGCATTGTATATCCTGAGTATATGAGTCAGTAAACCCAGCATACTGTCAAAACTTGACGTTGAGAGGTTTCCACTGGAAGTAGCTTCGTTACTAATGGGTCTGAAAGATTAGCATTGTACCCGTCGGTTTTGAGACTTTGCAATCTCCAACACAGAGTATCGGCAGACCTGTCAGAAATTAGAACTCACCATGAATCTGATGACCCTCATCTTAAATCTCGCAGACATTTGTCACAAAAAAGGATTCCGTATCATGAGCTAGATGCTTCTAAAACAAAATTGCCATACGAAGGAAAATGCTTAACGCTGCAGCACCTATTTTTTGTACACTGTACTTTGTGCTGAGAAACATGTTGTTTTTCAGTTCTGATCGGGTATTGTAAGGCTTTATAAGCATCAATTGCATAGCATTCTTGATGTTCTAAGCTGGATGAGAATTTTTTGCAACTTATTACACATGGTGAGAGCACGATATATGGGTAAGAGTTGAGGCGATGATGATGCTTTCGTTTTCTTGCTTTTTGCGTGCCATATTTCATGAGTATTATTATTTCTTAAAGTGAAGGATCGAATCTTAAGACAATTTTGCGTTCTTGGTCTTTAGATCGACATTGTACTTTTCCACAAGTCTCCGAGTTGTTTACTCCTCCTGTCTAGTTCATCCTCCTCAATATCTATTGAGCTACAAACAAATGCAGACAACAGGGCACCTTCCCGAATGCCACTTTCGATTCATATATCCCTACATCTTAGAAATTGTCCCAACCCTATATCTTGGCAATTCAAAAAGCATTTCACCGTCCCACCAGTGATTTCCGCACCAGAGAATTAGGGTGCCGAATGTCCTTGGTGGGATGAATACGCTGTCATTGCACTGTAAAAAGCTAACAGTTTTTAGTTATATCAGCCGATTTTTACTACAATGCTCATTACCCAACATGAGCTTCGCTCCCTGCTTTGTTGATATATACAAAATGTAGCTCAATTGTGTGTGTTCGGATTTGTATTAGTATAAAATCTCCGCTATTTATCTTCTCTATCTAGGAATTTTGCTATTCATCCAAGACCCATTTCACTCCGTCTACAACCATATCCGGCTGCGTTACCAGGATAAAGTGACCACTCTCGTCAGCAAACACAAGTTTTCCCCTCGTGGAAAGTTTCAAATGTTCCTTCATAAGTCCCTCACTTTTCTCATCAGCAATGTTGATCAGGTTCCTAACATAACTCCTCTGCTCCTCAGTCCCATTCCCCATCTCAACACCCGCTTTATACAACCCACTCCAATCTCTGCTCCTCAGGCCCCCGATTACATAAACCGGTCTATCTCCAAGCAGCGGCTGCTTATTCCGCAGCTCTTTCCTTAACAAAGTATCAAAACTCGGGGCGTATTCATCATCCTCTTTCTTTGCCTGTAGCATGTATTTCTCTGTTCCTCCTTCGCCTTCGAATGCATCCCATTCTTCCGTGGTGAACTTATGCTCGGATCTGAGACCAATACCAGAAAAGAAATCAACTCCTTCGGAAATCGCTTGGATATTTGCATCATTAGGATTCAGCACCTGTAGCGCAGTCTCGTGATTCGCATCGACGAATACTACACCAGCGATGTGGGGGCCATTTCCTGTAAGGGCAATGAACTCGTTTATGAGTACACCGGCCCAAGAATGCCCAACAAGAATTAGGGGATTTGAGATGGAAGCTTTCTCAATCAGATAAGACAGTTCTAAAGCAATATTCTCCGCTGTGGGCGCGAGAGGTGAGAGCTCAGAATTGCCATAGCCGGAACGGTCGTAGTTGTAGCTGCGTAATGAGGAGGGAAGTAGCCGTGTCACAGCAGCCCAAATGCGACTGGTGCTTTCTACGCCTGCTATGAATAACACAACGGGATCTTTGGAGCGGCTGGGCTCTGGGCCATGAGTGTAGAGGGCGAGGGAGTGAGTGCCGATGTTGATAAGAGTGGGGGTCGAGGAAGACATTATGAGCTTATGAAGCTACGCGTTTCTGAGGCTTCTCAAATTCAAATGGGGTGTGATATATGATGATGCTCTCCAAATATTCAAGCTACTGCATCCATACATATATTTCATCACTATTAATGCTTTGTCAGGTCTCTGAGTCAGGCCGTCTTCCCTGAGCGTAAGCGAAGCTCGGACATAATCATGATTAGCGATTGCTAATAAGCTCTCCATATATCTGATTAAAGATTTCTACAGAGATCTCCAGGGGAATAGAAGGTCTTTACGCAAAAGTACCTTGAGAGCACGTCACAAGTATTAAAATGTAATGGCTGAAGGGCGTAAATCTGCGGCTATGTAAGCGCTAGCTGATTGCTAATTCAAATAACTCACGCTTACACGTACTATTTGATCCTTTGAGCCGGGATCCGGGAGTGCTAATAGAAAAGCTTTTTCTTATCCATCCTCGCCATCTCAAGCCTGTAAATAGTGCTGTTTTTGGGGAAGTGGCTCGAGAGTAATAGGCTTATCAGCTGTTTAAGAGAAATCCTAGCCCTCTTGCTACCCATACAGTTTAGACTCGGATCTGTTAGCCACTTCGGGTAAACTGCAGCATACCCCTGAACCTGATATCGGTACCGGTAACTCGGAACGACATCCAACAAAACCGACCTACATCTCGACTGCCAAGCCCGTCCCATTCTCATTCTTGCTTGCTTTTCGGCATTGCATGATTTTGTCTTGTGTGGAAATATTTCTTAGTCATGAACGCTTCTAGCGTTTGTGTTGCAGATGCAGATGCTCTTTTTGGTCCTCGGGTCGATCCATGTCGTAGACAATTCGACTTCACGTTACTTTTCGAGCAGAGTGTTTTCACCGTCGGGCCATCCGCAATATTTATCGTACTTCTTTCTCTGAGAATACCGAAGCTATATCGGGAGAAGAGAAAAACACTGCCGAATTCACTTTGGGGTTTTAAATTGGTGAGTTTCCCCCATCTATTGTTATCATACGTGTGACGCTAACAACGACAGGTGGTAATATCAGTGATTTTATGTCTTCAAATTGCTCTTTTAGCATCGTGGATAGTTTCTCAGGGTCAGCAGACACCCGTATCTGTTCCAGCAACCGTGCTGTCAGTAATTGCCACTATTGGTCTCGCAGCATTATCGAACCTGGAGAATAATCGATCTATACGCCCTTCATTAGTAATTTGCACTTATCTTCTTCTTTCCACGCTATTGGATATAGCTCAAGCAAGAATACTTTGGTTGCAACACGGAAACGCAGCATTGTCGGCATTATTCACAAGTAGTGTGCTAGCCAAAGCAGTTCTACTATGTCTCGAAGCATTCGAGAAAAGATCTTTTCTCAAAGATCCCTACAATAGATACCCACCAGAAGCTTTGGCAGGAGTTATAAATACGAGTCTTTTCTGGTGGCTCAATACACTCATCCAGAATGGTCACAGAAACCTGCTCAGTCTTGGTGATCTCTTTGACACCGATAAAGCCCTGTCATCTTCTTCCCTAGGGACAAAGATGCAAACTGCATGGCGAAATCAATCGCCCAATGGAAAATATTCTCTCCTCTTCGCTATTCTTACAATCTTCAAAATCCCTCTACTCACACTCATATTTCCGCGTCTTTGCCTAATCGGATTCAAATTCTCTCAGCCATTGCTCATAAATCGAGCCATCTCGTTGATTGACAATCCCGAAACGCCGGGAAATCAAAATATCGGATATGCATTGATTGGTGCAACAGCTCTTATATACCTTGGGCTGGCTATTAGCACTGCCCAATACCAACACCAGATATTCCAAGTCATCACCATGATTAGAGGTGGATTAGTCTGCATTATTTATAATGTAACGCTATCCCTCGATGCAAACTCTACAGGCAATTCTGCTGCAGTCACACTGATGAGTACAGATATAGAACGTATTGGAACTGGATTCAGTAGTGTCGATAGTTTATGGGCTGGTCCAATCGAAGCAGGAATCGCAGCATATTTATTACAGCGAGAAATGGGTCTAGCCTGTATCGCACCTGTCATTATTTCACTAGGTGAGTCAAATTGTACACTTTGCAATATTCTCGACTAATCCCTGTAGCATGCACGATTGGAGCATTTTCCATCATGAAATGGGCAAAACATACTCAGAGGGAATGGGTCGAGGCGGTTCAGAAACGCGTTACAATCACATCATCAGCACTTAAATCGATCAGGGGAATCAAGATGCAGGGACTCACAACACGATTGTCCGAAGACTTGCAGGAGCTTCGTGTCCAGGAACTCGAGTATGCGAAGCCGTTTCGTAGGAATATTATTGCCACGGCAGTGTCATCTAATGTCACAACCCTGTGCGGACCGGCTATAACGTTTATTGTCTATATTCTTATTCAAAGAACCAAGGATGCGGCAACGCTGAATATTGGACAGGCTTTCACGAGTTTGTCTCTGATTTCGTTATTGAGTACGCCGGTTTCGGAATTGGTTCAGACGATTCCTACGTAAGCTGATTTCATGGGATACCAGAGATAATGAATGACCAACTCGAGAGAAAGATTTGCCGCCGCAATGGGTTGTATGGAAAGAATTCAGACTTATATCAGGACACAGAATCGCAACGATCCTAGATTTTCTAGAAAAAATTTGAACGCATCTCGATATCTGGAGAATCTGGAGACAATGTCAATCTTGTTTCCCATGAGATGGAGCTGCAAACGGTCCGTTCAATCATGCCGGCCTCTTCGTCCCATGCTCGGAAGAATGATATCCTTACAATCAAAGACGCATCGTTTACTTTCTCACCCGAAGGCACACCAGTTCTCAAAAACATCAATATCGAAATTTCTCGCGGTACGTTAACAATGATTATCGGTGCAATAGGAAGCGGCAAATCAAGTCTCCTGAAAGCAATGCTTGGAGAACTACCAAGTACTAAAGGATTTGTATTCACGAATACTTCAAGTATTGCATTTTGTTCTCAAACCCCATGGTTACCCAATAGCAAGCTACGAGAACTTGTGCTTGCGGGATCAAGCTACGATGAAGTTTGGTATCACGCGGTGCTCGCGGCTTGTCTGCTTCATCATGATATTGCTACGTTTTCGGATGGCGAGGAAATAATCATCGGTAGTGATGGGGCTACTCTGAGCGGTGGACAGAAGCAGAGATTGGTGGGTTGATTTACTGTTTTGGAAATATTGACCTGCTTCTTGTATGTAAGCTAATCCTGGTTAGGCATTGGAACGCGCATTATATTCCAGAAAAGACTTACTTCTGATCGATGACGTTTTCAGCGGACTCGATTACAAGACAAACAAAGCTGTCTTCCGCAAAAATTTTGGTCAAGAAGGACTATGCAAGGTGCATACTATAACTGTCGTTCTTGCCACGCACGCAAGTAAGCGCGGATTCGAGTGAAATAGCAAAAAAAAAACATGAACTGAGCTGACGGAATTTAGTTGAACATCTGCAATCCGCCGACAATCTTATTGTTCTCTCTAACAATGGCAAGATTGCAGAACAAGGAAACTTTCGAAAACTGCAAGAAAATGACGATAGCTATGTCAAAGATTTGATTTTCCATGAAAGTCCAGATGAGAAATCAGACGAAATCTCAGTCACAGAAACGGCGAACAAAACACCGACTAGACCAAAATCGGCTGAAACCAACGACTTCAACCGCCAAGATGGCGATGCCAGTGTATACTTCTACTTTGCGGAATCCGTAGGCTGGATCTATTTCTCTCTTTTCATCGGATCAGTACTTTTGTACGCGTTCTCCAGCGAATTCCAAGCTGTTCTCCTAGAACTATGGTCCAAAGCGGAGACTAATCATTCAGGTGTCTACACAAATCTATACATGGGTTTATACGCAATGCTATCCATAATAGCCTTGTGTGGGATGGGGGGGTTGCTCTGCGTCACATTGTTATTTGCAGGTCCATGTGCTTCTATTAATCTTCATCGCACGCTCTTGCATACCGTTATGACTGCGCCATATTCCTGATTCACGGCAACTGATAGCGGGATAACGTTGAATAGGTAGGTAACTTCAACATCTAATACTATTCAATATCAGCTAACACTCTATAAATTCAGTCAAGATATGAATTTAATCGACATGGAGCTCTTGACAGGAATCGTCGACACATTCGCAGGTACATTCATGGCCATTGCTCAAGCGATACTTATTGCCACTGGAGCCAAATACGTCGGAGTCATTCTTCCATTCATAATCGGCACTCTTTATATTCTCCAGAAAGTGTACTTGAAAACATCGAGACAACTTCGATTGTTAGATCTAGAATCCAAATCACCGCTCTACTCACACTTTACGGAGACGCTCAGCGGACTCACGACCATCCGCGCTTTTGGATGGCAAACCCAATCCGCTGAGAAGAATCGAAAACTTCTGGATCTCTCACAAAAACCTTACTATTTACTCTACTGTATACAGAGATGGCTCAATCTTGTTTTAGATCTCATCATTGCTGGCATTGCTGTTATTCTCATCACGTTTGCAACACAGATTCGTGGGACTACTAGTGCAGGTACTCTCGGTATCGCTTTGGTGAAAATTCTACAGTTCAACTCGACATTGAGTTTTCTGATTAGAAAATGGACTCAGCTAGAAACTTTTATTGGTGCTGTAGCTAGAGTGAAGAGCTTTGAAGCGAATACTTTGTCGGAGAATGGTCCTTTGGAAGTTAATCTACCGCCACCTGAATGGCCTGTTAAGGCTAAAGTCGAGTTCAGAAATGTGACTGCGACTTATGGGTAAGGGCAGAATCGGAGAAGTTATATAGAATCTACTAACAGTATTAACAGTAACGATGAACCTGCTGTGCGGGATGTCTCATTTTGTATCGAGGGTGGCACGAAATTGGGTATAGTTGGAAGGACTGGTTCGTGAGTGTACCTTTTCCATTCTCAACGTTTAAAGATCTAACATATCTTCCCATAGTGGGAAATCATCTCTAACATTAGCACTCTTCCGGATGCTCGAGCTAAAAACAGGAGATATCCTCATTGACAATATCTCCATTTCTACTCTCCGCCGTGAATCAGTACGCTGTTCCTTCATCACCATTCCCCAAAAACCTTACTTCCTATCTGGCACTGTCGGCTTCAATGCAGACCCATTTCATTCTCTAGACAATCAAGCAATCCAGACTGCGCTTGTTCGTGTTGGACTATAGGACATTATATGCGATAACGGAGGTTTAGAAGCTTCCATGGACGCAACGCCTCTCAGCCAAGGCCAACAGCAACTTTTCTGCATCGCAAGAGCATTGATCAGGAAAGTAGCGTTGGGAAATAAGAATCATGGAATTCTGGTGCTTGATGAGGTGACGAGTAATGTTGATTCTGCCAGTGAAGAGATCATGTTGCGGATTCTGGATGAGGAATTTAAGGGCTGGACAGTACTTGCTGTAGCTCATAGATTGGGAACGATTAAGAGTTACGATAGAGATCTGGTTCTTGATAAGGGGAGTGTGGTGGAGGATGGAGCGCCGGAGGATTTGATCCGAAAAGAGGGAGGTCTATTTAAGGAATTATGAGAGAATGGATTTGGGAAAGAGAGTACTGTGTAGTGTGTTGAGTAGAGTTTCGTTTCTTTCTCTGCCTTTGTTGTTTCTTTTACTTGTAAAGAAAGGAAACTCCTTAGATTGTCGATTAATTCCATTCTATTATACTGTTCATCCTATTCATAGCATGGAATACACTCGTACCCATACTGGAAGCTTTCACCACACCCAATACAATTGGAATGTAAAACTATTCAATATGCATACTGGAATCTATCGATAATCCAACTGGCCCCATTACATGTAGCACACTGAGTTCCCCATTAGATAGCCATCGCATGCTGTCAATGTCGTGTTATGGACAACAATCACATGTTGACCTCTTCTGACAATCACAACTCTATCCAGAGACACAGCGTCGCCGATAACTTTTTGAAGTAGCAGGGGATAATAAGAAAATTGGTTCATATGAGCGATATTTACAATATCCGCAGTTACATGGAGCAAAGCTCATTATGTGTGGAGATGAAATCGTCCCGTTGAGGCTATCACAAAGGGAAATATATTTTTACACAACGCTTGTGGCCATAAACTTATTGGCAATGCTTTGTAGAAAATGAAAAGTGATCAAAATATTGATGTCGTGATATCGTGATGAAAAGAATATGTTTTACTCAAGTCTATCGACGCTTTTGAACGGCGCATCATCGGCTAAACTTACCATTTTTCCATCTTTTGTCCGAGAGCATCCGAGTCATAAATTCTCATTTCTCTTCCTGAGGCTGAGTCAAGTTTTCTTTCTTCAAAAAAAAATCATGACGACGCGGCGTCTCCGTTGGTATAAATAAATTTCATTATCTTGTCATGCGAAATATATCTTCAATTTCTCTTTGTACCCCGATTCAATAGCGGCATCAGCAGTACCAGTATTTTCCATTCTCAATTTCGACGCTTTCATGCAGATCTCTTCTCGACTCTGTTGGGTGCAAGGTCACGATATTAACAAAGGGATTCCCCTACACACCTTTCTTCCCTAGACGCAAAAGAGAGGGGATGGAGATGCCGCGGTGGAGTCCTGTCCATCTACACACCGTGGTGACCGTCTGTACCAAAAATCGCAATCAAAATCTCAGTTCATGAACGTTAGGCCCCAGCAGAAATCCTGGTCATCCGGACACGGCTTTCCAGGGCATGGAGGGCATGTAGCCTGTAGGGCCAATTTTCTGAACCCCTCAAAGATTCCCTTGAGTTCTAGAACGATTGGGATAATATTGGTTCGTGCTAACTTCTAAGGTTGCGTGGATCCGGGAATGTAGTAGATACCTACGGAGTACTAGGTAGATGAGATATGAAATGGGTATGTAATATATTACATGAGAGAGTGAATTTAATTGAATGAGGTAAATAAAATGGTGAACCCGCCAAGGATCATGTGCGAAGTAATGGTAGATGGAGTTGATGGCGTAGATGGAGATTTGTCTGCTGAGAGTTTCCACTACTGTACCGGTAGGACTGTTTCTCATGCGATGATAATTCTGGGTACCGATGCCATTGTGTGCTCCGTACACTACGCGGTTACGACAATTACAATTTCGATTCCGAATTCGATTCCGCAAAAAGAAGTCGAGGACGGTGAAGAATGAAGAGTCAAAAGTTAATGGTTGACAATCTAACGGTGAACACAAAATGATGCAGCAGATTACGACTACCAACGGACATTTCTCACAGGGTAACATTAGCAAGCATCTCCATAGAAAAAGAGCCACGACTGCTCTCCAATCTTACGGATCCCCAATCTAACAATCTAATCAAGAAAACGGAACAAGGAAATCGGCCTTGTGCATGCAGTAATGCAACAATAATGCAAACACGGCAGTGACGATCTGCGGAGCGCACTGTACCTAGCTACGTACTGCAATGAAGATCTGATAGCTATCGTAAAACAGTAATCTCTCATCCCTATGAATGGTGTATCAAAAACTCCGAGCTATCAGATCAATGCTTTTTTTCCCCTTTGCTTCTTTTCCCCCATCTTCCCCTTTATGCCAAGCTTTACGATCAAACATGTTAAAAGAAAAGACTAACCTTACTTATTACTGTTTGAGGTGGTTAACTAATTTGTTCTCCTTGCTGCATTTTGTAGATAGGTAGTAGGTAGTTCGGTAGACAAGTATGTACGTGTAGTCGTACAACAATATTTCTAACCCATACGAAGTATTCAAAACTTGCGAGGTATATTCTCTATACGAATCAGACGAAAGTTATTTTTCTCAGTGAATCAATTCGGCACCCCTGATTCTTCCTGGGTATGTACCGGTGTTGTACCTATCAGCTTACCAGGCTTTAGACGCTCGTGAGTAAAAATGCTCGGCTAATGGATAATTGTTCGTTCCTGATTATGGTGAGGAGATCTAATGCAGGTACAAGATTCTTACAAGCTTGCCGAGAAAATCGAAAATCCAATGAGAATGGATAGATGGATACTCTAGACCTTGCGGTTCCTCTTACTAAAGAAATATGATTCACGTATGATATGGGTTGTTGAAATGGTTTCTAGACCTCCGTCCAAGAATCTTGGAACCTCTGCAATTCCTTAACTTTGGAATTTTCAATATGTGTTATTTGGAGTACGAGGTATGTATGTATGTATGTGTATGTACGGCGTATATATCATTACAAGTTTGAGTTTGAACATCTGTGTTTCCTCGGAGCTGAGCTGAGCTGAGCTATACGATGATATAGGTAGCTTTTGTTTGCTCGCTACCTGCCCAGCTGGCTAATTAGGTAAAACGGAAACGAAACGCAAACGCAAGCAACAGAGAGTTTTGCAACATCTCGCTGCTCATCCATGTCAACCCCAGACTCTCGTTCTTGCAATCTTGACAAGCACCAACAACATTCAGGGAGCGAAATTCATGCGAGACCCTGTTGGAAATCTCGTTGGTCCCACCCGGTCGTTTCATTAATCAATACGAGATGAACTGCCGCATGGTCGGTGGCATCTGGACTTCTCGATATGACATCACGTTTGCTGGATCAGCTTTTGTACATATTCTTTTTCGATGTGCTTTTCCGTGGGACGGGAGGCAGGAGATCTTCGTGTGCGATTATGAACCTGTCGTTTTGCTACAGAGTTAAATACCTCATACAATGCAAAGTTAGATGAATCGGGAATTTACAGTAGGTCGATGGATGACGGTGACCCGATGACTAGATTAAATGCTTCATCAACAATTATTTCCTAGTACATGCTCTATAGACCTAGACTGCCTAGTATCTATCAATTGATCGATCTATCTGCGAAGGAATGCCTACTAGACCATTACCCAGCCAAGGCTCTTTACACCTGTCTATCAACAATCCAACAGCCGACCCTAAGGCTCACTCACCACACGACCACGGTGATCTCCACCACCCAACCTTTCAACCCAACCTTTTTGATCCTCCAGGAATCATCTCTCTGGTAAATATACATCACATTGAGGCTTTGTATCGGGTTTCACAATATTTTCAGAAAATCCAGTCAGATTGGATTCTCTTCCCTTTCCTCGCCTCCAGCGTTTCGAGTTTCTCCTTACTGTACGTACATAGCTCACTAATGCATCCATCCCAATAATCTCTTCCTCCCATCTATCTATTGAATTCTCCACGCGAAACGAATACTAGAAAAGCGACAGTTTATCGAATCAATCATCGCATTGGTCACCTTTTCAATATTGCAAAAACGTTAGATCTTCACAACGAGGTATGAAAATGAAAATGAAAATGAAAATGAAAATATGTCCGTCTACAGACACCGTAGTACAAAACTGTTTCAATTGAAACATGGCACTATCCCTCTCCCTCGCGCATCTCATGATGATACAATTACAATACAAGAGCGCGCAATTCCCCGGCCATCATATCCACACATGCAACTTGTTTCGAGAGAGAGAGAGAGTAGCGTGCACATTCTCACAAATTGATTATTATTGTATGATTCGTATCGTGTCCTGAATCATCGTCTCGTTCGTACCTACCTACCTACGGATTATTCATCGTCACGATAACGCTCTCACATCACTCACTCATTGTTCTTCCGGGGTCCGCATCGATACATCGATGCTTGAATCAGAAGTGAAATTATCATCTCCAGATTTCTTATGCTTCTGCTTTCTCATTTTACATTACATTACATTACATTCATATTCATATTCACATAACAATTTTATTCGCATCAATATCATTTCACATAATTTCACACCACAAATTGACCGCTATCTGTCTACCCACGAAAAAGCACCATCACCATCACCATCACCATCACCATCACCATCACCAACCTACACCAGCACTCTCCATCCAAAGTTCCAAACCCACAAAGTACGTACCGTCCTTAGTCCCGGCTGTCCGAGATGAAGCCCCAAAGGCTTGTCCAAAGTGTTTCAAGTAGAGTGCAAAGTGACAGCGACCACCCCTACCAGGAGCCCATCGAGCGCCCACCCAGAATCTCCCTAGTGCCCGCACCCTCATCTTGCCGCTGCATGATTCGTTTGCTAACCCTCCGTGAGAAAGAGAGATCCAATTACCGTCGCTCGAAGAACACAACCAACCCCCTGCAGAAACCCTCCTCTCCGCTACAAAGTCTAGTCGATATCCATCCGAGAGAATTCGTCCAAGCCATCCTGGTTTCTTCTTGGTTCATCTTAGGTATTTCTTTCGTGCTTTTCGGTTTAGAGTACTTGTCTAGGTAATACGGAAGAAGACGTAGAGAAAGGAAAGAAAGGACAGGAAGGAAGGAAGGAAGAAAGAAAGAAAGAAAGAAAGAAAGAAAGAAAAATCTTTTATTCATCCGTTGAGTCTGCATATTAAAGAAATCATAACACGCTAGCACTCTACTTGGAAATCTTTAAAGGTAAGTGAAGATTGGCACGAGTGAAGATTTTATGAGGATCGTGGATGCGCTATCTTCGGTCTATCCCGTACGCTATCAAATTGACAAGAGAGTTCTTTGACGATGAAGATAGGTGTTCCTGTCGTGAAATAATGTACTT